TGTTGTATCGATCAGGAAATCTCTTATAAGTGTGTAAATTTTCAGACGTAGAACTGAAGTTGAAGTGTGATAGTTTTAATGTTAGTAGAGAAAAAGTCGAAATTTTTACACATGATAATTTCTATTTAGCAATAATATTGCTACAATTTCTGCTCTCGTAGCTGTCAGAAAAATATTGAAACTTATAATACCATCAGGTGTAGATCTCCAGTTAAAATTCTTTAGCTCTTCGAGAAGTGTTCAATATTTCTATCGTAGATAATTTATATTTTACCATATGATATTAAATTCTATTTGTAGCTGTCGGATAATGTTTGAGTTGCAGTTACAATTTGAGCCCTTTAGATATTAGGGTAGTGGTCAAAGTCTTGATTGACAATAAATTCTATTTGGCGATAATATGACGATAAATTCCGTTTCAAAACGTTAAAAAACGGCCGAAACTTGGATTATTTAATTATAATTTGATAAATCTAGCTTGTGGAGTTAAGTCAAAAATGTTATATTTCGTTATATATCTTCCCACAAAAGAAATTGCAATAAAATCTGCTTGTAGCCATCAGAAAAGATCAGAAACTTGCATTGGCATCCAGAACAGAGCTCTGTTGATATTTAAGAGCTCGATCAATCAGAAAGTGGTCAAAATTTTGACAGTAAGGTTTTATCTTTGCAAACACGATAGTGAGTTAATAAATATACTGTAAAAATGATAAACATTTTGCAAACAAATAATGCGTATGTTCGTTTAGTATTTTTCTGGTTTTTGAAAAGAGTTAAATGTGAAGAAATGCAAAAAATGAGTTTAGTATGTGAAAGAAGTAAACACAAGACTAATAAATGACATGAATGTATGCATATGTATTTGACTTTTTTGAAATTTTTTAATCCTTTAAAATAATGTTTATAAGGTTTGAACAAACTCTCAATGCTTTTTAATGTAAAAAAATTAAAATTTTATATGAACTATTGAAGTTTTAACCCAGAGAAAAAAAGAGGCATATTATAATAATTTGTTGTCCAATAAATAAAAAGACATGAATATACACAATAAGTGAAACTATTTATTTTACAGCAAAAGTTGTTTGCACCACGGCTGCAATTTACAACTGTTTGAACAGTTTAACTTTGTTTTGAACAGTTCTGTAAATATTACAGCAGATTGATTTAAATTTCACAAAGTGCTTTTGCTGACAATGCTCAACACTGTTATTCAGAAACATCACCGGGAAACATTAGTTGCAGTGTGTAATGTAATATTCATAGCTCTGTCAAAAGCAACACATTGAGAAAGTTAAAGCAACATTATTCACATCATCATGATTAAGTGAAATTCGTGAAATTGTCCTATGTCTACTGCAAAGTTTACAGCATTTTCGAAACAGCAACTTCGTAAATTTTATAGCTCGTCTGTGATTTTTTTTAATTCTATACATAGCTCAAAATGTATATTTAAAAAAATGGATACAGCTCAAAGGCGTATTTAGTAAATTAGGCATACGTCAAAATGCATAAACAATAAATCTGAGAGAGCTCAAAATGCGTATTTAAGAAAATGGAAAGAAATCAAAAGTGTATTTAAGAAAATGGACATTTTTTCATACATTTTAAGCCATGTGACTTTTCTTAAACATGCATGCATTTTGAGCTATGATAAGAATAAAAAGCTCACCAGTAACTTTTGCTGAGAGATACAGAGAGTCTCTGGATTTTGAGCATCTTGGAATCTTCTCCGTATGCGAAGGAGAAAAAAAAGAAAGATCGGTTTAAAATAAGACAACTTTTGCAAAATTTGATTTAAATTGCAACTTTTTAACAATGTTATTTTTTTTTTCAAAAGTTCACTATTGTCTAGAGAACATAAGCAAAAATAAGTGAAAAATAAAAATTTTATCTTTTACTAATTTACCACGAGTAAATTAGTTGCCTTAAAACCGATAAAATTACCTTGATGGCTTCTGAATGTAGCATTTCGGGCGATAATATATTTCGAATGGACAATAGTTAATGCAAATCGCTTTGTAGACCTAGAATGAGAGCAATTTGTCAAACTAATTCGCATTATTTAATCACAATCGGTTTTTATCAATTCATCTTTTTTAGCCTACAGTTATAGCGAAAAAAAATTATTAAGTTATTTCTTTATTTTTTTGCTCTACTAAGTGAAATATCTACAAGATCTAACATCATACCTTCTATGAAAGAGGACAATCAGAAGATTAAAAGTTTGGAGGATAATGATGCAATTAAAACTTTAATTATTTCAAAATAGGAGGTGGGCAAATAAAAAGTTTAGATAGTTAGAAGTAAAATTCTAAACTTCTGACCCATAATTTATTTATACTTTATTTATTTCGATGCATTACTTATAGTGTCAATATAATTTATACTGTTTTGTAATATTCCAACTCCAATGAAAATTTGTTAAAATAAATATCGAAATCCTTTTTATAAAGATAAATGATACTTTCAATAGATTTGAAAATGTGTTACAGTACTAAAAAATAAAGTTAAGGAAATCACTTCTGTCCTAAATAATGTCATAGAACATTGATTTATAACAGAAAATCTTTATTTACTGTATTTTGTTCTGAGCATCTTTCCAAACTAACAGAATCGTTTTTCTATCTAAAAAAAAGTAACAGTCACACAGCTATCACTGTTTTGGATGCCCCGCTTTGAAGTATTCTGTAGAAAATTTTAAAGAAGGCACTATTAGTCGAAAAAATTTTAAATTTTAATTGTTAGTTCAAGAGATACTAGTTTTTAGCATTGTGGTAAAATTCATAAGTAGTATAGCAAATATAGAATTCCTATGTCGAACGTAGTTAGTAATGATAAGCATATTAGTATTATTCACTAAAAGAAAAATAGTGAAGTCGTTAGGGTTAACACACTTGATGAAGTTTACCTTGAATTCGAATATCGGTTTCTTTTTTATTGATCTATATTTAATTTCAATTTTTAAACCGAGCAAAGGATATTGATTTTATACTACTCAAATTTGTGTAAATTATTGATTTGCAGATTTAGCCCATTCAAAGTAGAAATAAAACTTTGTTTTTAGTTTATTTCCATAGGAAGCAACTTCTCAGAAATAAAGATCAAATTTTAACAAATTTAACAATTTTTTTTTATTTAGCATATAACAGCATAAACAACTTGATAAAAATGTCAAGTATTATTAGAATGCAAGAAACAACAACTTCCAAAGCAGTTTTTTAAAACTCTTACTGATATAGTAAACTAGTTTATTATATACTGTTCTATATATGCAATATTCTGTTTTAAACTTCGAATTCTCTATTTGAGCTGAGGAAGTTCGAATTTCAATTCAGTCAATTTAATTTGTATCCTCTTTCGTGGTTGCTTTGTCTACAAGAACTGACTCAAAAATTTCCCCAACGGCAGCTTCTTATTGGTATACATTCCATGTGTAATCCTTAATTTCTCTTCAGGAAGAGTTTAATGATTTGGTATTAGTGTAATTTTGAGTAATGTAAGAATACTCATTAATTTTACACAAACATAATCTTCTTAATACTAGATTAGGTGAGATTTAAATTCTTTATCCATTATTTTCCAACAATGTTGCAAGTTTCATGTTTTAAATTATTATTCGTTTACTATAAATACTTGTAAAAAAACTGCACAATTATTAAATTTTATGAAGTAAAAAAAGCACATAATAAAATCACATAAAGTTTTAAAGCTCATAATGAAAAATTCTAAAATTTTTCAATGTTTACAATTATGTATTATTTCAAGAAAAATAGAATTCTCATAAATGCTTTTCCTGAAATACTTTCTGCACTGTAATATATTAAAATATTTAAACAAACTTAACTCTTTTTTTCGACATTGACAAATACTACTTAGGAGTACGACTGGAAATTCGATGAAAATACATTGATAAAATTTAAAGAAAATATAATACTTCAGAATAATGTGTGTTAAATTTATGTTAAGAGACTCATTTTCAGGGGACTCTGATGATTTTTTATAATCTTCTGAAAAATGGTGCGTTTGGTATAAATGCGTTAAAACAGTAATAAATACTGCCACCTGACCATAAATGAGAAAAACACATCGCTCACTTACTTGAGTAGGTAGCCACACACAATCTAAAATCAAATGTAAGGTCTTGTAGTTGGTTTGTAGTTTTAATTAAGTTGAAATCACGTGTAACAGCATTTTTTTCCTTATCCTTTATTTACTTTCCTTATCTCTTAATATTTTGCTTGAACACATTAAATGTTCCTAGCATTTAGTTTCATTATCAACAGAATAACTGTAGGACACCTTTTATTTAACGTAAATAAAAAAAACATGAATTAATTTTGGCATCTAAAAATATCTATGTTATTAAAATATGTGTATGTATCACTCATGTGTATCAGTACATTTTCTATTCTTTTTCGTGATACATCATAATGGAATATACGTAACCAAAAATCAATTTTTAAGCAACTAAACATTGATATTCACGCAACCAAACTACGATATTCACACAGTTTCTTCCTTAAATCACTTATTCAATAAAATTGCATGCATCCGGCAAAAATTTACTCTGAAAATATTTCTTTGATTCAAACAATTATATAAAATCAAAAGTTATTTTTGAAATAAAAACCTGAGATCAAGGAATATTAGAACATTAAGTTGCTTTCTCATCTTGATCAGTTATGATTAAATAAAGTTGAATGCATCCTGCAAGTTTACTCGTAAAGTTTTCAAACAAATAAATGAAATTGAAAGTTGTTTTTGAATTTAAAATTTGCGAAACTTCTAAAAGCTTTACAAATGAAGGAATATCGGTTCGTTAAGTTGTACTGGGGATTAACTGACAAATCTGGTAAAACGATAGTGAGGAAGCCTACTAAAGAAACAACTTTCACTATTCCATTGAACCCTAAAGCGTAGAGTCTCTCACGTAGGGGGAAAAAATAAAAATAAAGAATTAAAATCATTAAAAGTAGAAACAAACTAGAAATAAAGAACATGAAGCAGGATCAGTGTAGCATGACCGCGCCCCTTTCACAGTTAACGGGAAAGAGTATAAAAACGCCGCCTCTTTACCGAAGTCGGATCATTTTTGATCAAGTTTGCCTTTCAGTTGGGTTATACCATACTATATTTCATGGTAAGTTAATTGGTTAGATTATTAAATTTAATATTAATTTTATTTAGATTTAATTTTATTTTTAAAATGCATTATTGTACTGACGCAAAATGTTTCAAATTTAAAAAAATATGTATATTTAAAAGTTACTTTTAAAAAATCTTTTAAATCCTTAATTGTTTTAAGAATATCTTGATTGTATTTTATACATTATTGTGTTGATTTAAATGGCTGACAAAAGTCATCAGCAATTAAACTTAGAAAAAATTCTTTTCGTGGAATTATATGATATTTAATAGTAAGTTAATTGATTAGATCAACGGTTTCCAAACATGTTCCGTGGAACTCTAAGGCTCCGAGGAGGAGTTAAGGGGTTCCGAGAGTTTTTTCTTTTCTTTAAGCAGTTTTTTTTAAATATTTTTGATAATGTTTAGATATAAAAAATTATCCATTATTTACTTAGTACTTAAGTTTCTTAGAATAAAAAAAGAAATGGCAATTTTTTTAAAATATATATATAACTTTTCTAATAATATTCTATTAAATAAATTATGATAAACCAACATAATAATTTATAAAACATTGCGCTCTTAAAATAAAAATAAAATAACTAAATCCGTTAACTTAGAATTTCCCAAATAGCAATTTTTAACGTTTATAGCACTTTTTAGTTTTCATTTCAAGGCAATGAAAATTAAATCAACTGTCGGACATTCAACCGTCTTTTAATCGCCAACCATCGAGCATAAAACCTATTTCATTTTAGAATATTAATGTTAAAACGAAGAAAAACTTCGATTCCTTTAACTTAGTTTTTTCAAAATAAGTAGTTTTTTATTGATGATTACGTTCGCAATTGTTTTTATACACTAAAGAATAAAGTTATAAATAAAGTCGTAATAAATAAAGTCGGGACTCTGCCGAAAGAAAGTAGATCATACGGCGTTTCAGGACCAAAAAAAAATTTGAGAACCGCTGGGCTACATTATTAAGTTTAATAATATTTTTTTTGTCAATAAAACATGATTTTAAAAACGATTACTGTGCTGCTTAAACTATGACACACATTGTTTTCAATTTTCAAAAAAATATAAACTGGAACTTAAAAAAAGTGCGCCTCAATAGTTAAAAGTATGAATAATTTTATTGTGATTGTATTCTTTTAAAAATAGATTGTATTGTTATAAACGAGTGACTTCCGTTGTTTCAAAAATTTTCGAAACTTTGAAAGTGAATTGCTTAAGACTATAAAACCCGTAAGAGTTAAATGTATTGATAATTTTATATTTTAATAAATTATTGAGCTTATTTTAGTGAATGATTAAAGTTGTACTTAAATTTAAAATTATTACTAAATTTCAATTCATTGGCAATATCGTGGGCATTTTTTAAAATAGTTAAATTGGTTAGCGTGAAATTGGCTGAAAAGCTCTCCCGAGAGGGCAACAGCTAATTAGAATAATAATGTAGTTAAAAAATATTTCAATTCAAATACAATAAACTTGAAAATTGTTGAAGAGTATAAAAAAAATTAAAGTAGTAAACAATGATTATAGCAATAAACAGTGATAAACAGTGATTTTCAGTAATAAACAATGATTATAGTTTCATAACTATTACTTAATTTTTGCTTTAAAATTATGTTAAGTTTTTTTTAAAATATTTTTCTTTGGAAATTTGAACAGTTTTAATAAGTAGAATTAAAAATATTTTTCAACGAAAACTTTAAATTTTTGAATTACTTCAAGTTAGTTTTATTTTACTCAAATTAACATAAAGTTTCTTTCACTGAAATTTAAAGATATTTGAGTTTCTTTTAGTGCATTTAAGTACTTTAAGTTGTTTTTCAGATCCTCACTAATATAGTTTTGTTTTTTAAAAAATATTTTTAAAGAATTTTTAAGCAATTTTATTTATAAAATGAAATATTTAAATGCTTCTATATATAACAATGTATTAAAAAGTCGAAGGAAAATTAAACAAAATACTATAAAAATAGATGAAATCATGTAACTTGAAAGTTTAATATACTTTTTAAATCCCATTTATTAATTTTAGTAGTTTTATTGTAATTTAAGTATACACAAAATTTCGAAAATATTTACAATGCATATTAGTGTTCTAGAACAAAAATTTAGGAAGGAAAAGTAACACCAGAATCTTTATCTCTATCTTATATTTATATCTCTATTTTATATCTATAACTCTATCTTATATCTCCATCTCTATTTTATATCTCTTTCTCCATTTTATTTATCTCTATTTTACCTATCTATCTTATATCTATAGCATGTTCATATGTGCTATCGTGAAGTATTTTTAGAGTAAAAGCTAACTAGAATTTGTGCTGCGTTTAAAAAACACTAAAACTTCCCACGGTTAGCTTGAAGACAGGAACCGTAATCTATGGTACCTAATACTAGGGACATTTTGTGTTCATTACTATAGCCTATTGCAATACAGTGATATTTTGTGCATAGCTATAGGCAACCTGGATACAGTGTATGATCCCAGCTGATATATCTTAGAAATTTTATTACGTATGCGAAAGAATTGGTGATCATCTTGTTAAAAACAAACATAATTTGTCGTTCATGTGCAGTTGAATTATTTTGAACGTGTTAGTGAATAAATATCACGATACATAGCTGAATAATTATATTTACGCTCATCTCGGCAAATATCTTCTTTCCCACCTGGTTGATCATCCCTATCTCCTCTCAACTATGAAGCAAAAGTATTACCTCGTAAGCTTCCTTAAAATTTGTATATAAATCGTGAAGTTAATAATTTATAATTATTATAGTGTTATAAATGTAATAGTTACACATCAGTTCAATTAAAGTGCGCATCTTCTTTGGATTATCAAAAGAAAATGAAGAAAAAAAAGGTGATAAGTCTTTCGAAAAAAGTTGAAAAGTTTATTGTAAGAAAAATTCTTTTGGGAAATATCTATTGTTGTTATTTCTTTCATTAGCTTTGGCTTCTTACGATTTGTACACTTCATCAATAAACTTTAAAAAAGATAAATAAATATTATTTAAAAAAGAACCTTAGTTACTGCTTACTTAAAGAAAATTTTGTTACATTTTGTTGCTTATAAGATTTAACAGAAAAAAAAATTCAATACAGCTGACTTTTTCTTAAAATTCAAATGTGGATAGTTTAAAATGATATTAATTCCTTTTGAATTTTTGATTTATATTAATATTTTAATCAGTTCCTTAATTTAAAATTTTCCAAGTCTGATTTGCTTTGCAAATAAATTTAAAACAAAAGATTTTATAAGTAACGAAAATTTAAACCAACTTAAGCAAATGGTTTTCATAAAATTTTTTTAATGGATAAATATAGTATGAGTGCAGAAGAAGTGTCCCTGTTTGCAGTGTGTCTATGAATTTATAATTTATTATAATACTATCCATCTTGTAAATCTTTGTTAAAAATAAGTAACTTTAATGTAATTTTAATTCTTATTAAATCTTTTTCCTATATAAAACTCAGTGTAAAAGTATTGATTATTATTTGTTAATCAATACATATTTTTGTTAAGTCGAGCTTCCAATGCTGGAACTGTTTCTTCCTCCCATCAGGATTCAGATTATCAAGAGTCCACTACGTTTTAAATATTTTTTGTTTTAAATTTCTAAAAAAAATATGTACTACTACAGCCTTCTTTTAATTATTTGATAATTTTCATTATAGAATAATTTTAATCATTAAATTCCTAAAAAAATTTCTAATTTGTTTGAAGGTTATCACAATTTTTATCTTAGTTACACTGTTAGGATTTTCATTCTAAAATTAAGGTAACATAACCGGCAGAAGTCTGTTTATCCCATTAGTCGTAAGTTTATGGTAAAGAACATTTTTTACCTTTACGGTTCTGAAACCGCTTACAACTTGCCTGGTTAAAAAAACCATGAACATAAAACTTTACTTTTTTTAAATATTTACAACTAACATGATTTTAAAACTGTAGAAAAGTAATTTAACTGGACAATGGAGCTCTGCTTCCAGTTGGGTAAAGGGTATTGGAGTTAGGTCGTGGTTCACTATTTTTTCATCAAATTAACCATGGAATGTGTTTTAATTAGTTTATCTGGTTGTTTCACCTTTGGTAAGAGATGGGAAGAACTAAACATTTTTGTGTTAAACAGCTTTTTGGTGCTGCCATCTATGCGTGAATGTTGTATTAACGTGTGTAGTGGAAATATAGTGGTGTCAATGCTGGGACTTGAACCCTCTATCGGTTGGACAAAAGAGTCAACTAAGTGGCTTCATTAGGTGGGCTTAGTTGGTGCGATAAAATTTAGGTTGTTAAACCATATTAGGTGAAAACAGTTAATAAATGGTTTTTCTTACAGTTAACAGTTTGAATACTTTAACTGATATTGATGGTTATTCGGCAGTTCGGTGTGAATAAGGTAAAATAACAATTAAATAAACTGTTATTTAACCATTTTCTCCAAGAAATTTCTAACAGTGTAAAAATCGAAACATGTGTGATGGTTAAAAGTTTTTTTTAAAGACATCTATGTTTATTTTTAAAAACTATACCGAGATACGTGATTATGATTCTTATTGACATATATCTAAAGGTTCCGTGATGATATCCTATCTTAGAAATAGCCGCGAGCACCAAATGGACGTGCTTTGAACTCATTATTAACTTTTCAACCGCTAGTCCAGATATCATTGTTCGTTAATGTATCCTTTTTTTCTTTTGGTTTTGAGAAAAACTTATTAAGCCTTTTTACGTTTTGATCAAATCGAATCATCAAAGAACACTAAATATCTTATTGTTGTTACGGTATAGTTTAAAACGTTCTTTTCTTCCTTTTTACTAAAGAATTAGTTTATAGAAAGTTAAATTTCCTTTTTTATAGTTTCGATTAGTACGAAGCTGTAAACTTTGTTCCTTAAAGAAATTTATGCCAAAAAATTTAACGTTTTAATTTAAAAAATAAAGTTGTTTTCCTACTTTGAATAACTAAAATAAACGCAATCATTAAGACGTC